GGATGAAATAAGAAATATGAAACAAATAAAATAAAATACATACAAAGCAGAACACAGCTAAATGTATCAAAAGTATGTCTATGTAATATTAGAATCTTCTGAGACAATGAATTTTGGTTTTTCATTGTTTCCCCTGTAAGAGATTTTTATTTAATAGAATTTTTGGACAAAAAAAAAATCGCAATATATCGGGATATATCGTATCGTGACTCCTCTTTCATGATATGTATCGTATCGCCAAATTCTTGCCAATACACAGCCCTAATCTTAAGTATAAAACATTAAGTTCATTTGTCTGTCTTAAAAAATGAATAAATGTTCTGAAACTCTTCATTACAACTTGTTAGTTGTTAGTTAACATGAAATTAGAGTTTTAATCTAAACAGGTTTCAAGTCTTTGCGTTCTTTCTTTAAAGTAAATATTTAGTGGCGTATTTATGTGCCAGCTTCCGTATCAGTTCACAGCTCAGCTCAGGTTAACAGTTTTATTTGTCAACGAATTACAGCGGTTTGCACAAATCTGTTAAAGTCCACCCTTTAACAACCTTAAAACTATGGATTAGTATTCAGATTGTATGATATTTAAAAGAAAAAAACTTCCAAGAAGCTTCACTTACTCATCTCATATAAAAATAAAAAAAATATACACAATAAAGAAAAAAAAATACTTTAATTCCAGGCTCCTAACCTGTTATTTAATCCCTCAAACAAGTAGAATCTTAAAGGTATATTTGTGTGAAGAAGTCAGAGCAGTTCTGCTGTCTCTGATTAAAACTTTTCACCAGATTAACTTCAGCACAGTTCAATCTGAGCCTCACTGCTCTGAAAAGTGCAGTTAGCCTGTTTTTAGCAGCTGGCAGAAGGACAAAGGCAGATTTATTTCTGGCAGAAGCAGCTGTTTGCTCTTCTCGACCTCAGATACACCCTGCAGCTGCTGGTTACTAAAACCTACCAGACTTAACTAGCAGCCAGCTCTGGGGATTAAAACTGGGACGAATGGACTTTGTGGTTCTGACCTAAAACTGTTTGATTTCAGCAAGCCTAGGGACAGATACACCTAAAGGCATTTGAAGATGAAACACTTTAAACTGAAATAAATCGAGCCATGAACCTTAGAAGAACTTGTTTCACAGTTCATGCTTCGTGTTCTGGTTGAACTGAAACTGCGTTTATTACTACAAAATCACACTAATCGTTTCATCTGACAGTGAACGCTAAAACTAAAGTTTTAATACAATTATTACCAAGTTTACATGATATTCGACTATGTGTACGTGTCCCAAACAGCTCAGGTTAGGTGTTTCAGAGCTAAAGGAATGCCTGGAGGTTCCGAAACAACAGAACCAGACAGGCAGTCGAGAGCTAACAAGCTAAAACAGCTTCAGTAAACAAACAGTTCCTGAAAAAACATTATCGGTTTAAACACAAAAATAACATCTTTAACACAAGATTTTATATATTATGTGAAAGTGTAAATAATTCTGAACAAACCTGATATCTTTAGCGCTCATTCTCATCCAAAACAACCCACCAGGAAGAAATGTGCCTGCTGACTGCGAACTGAGCTGCTAGCCTGCTAACAAGCTAACAACAGCTCACTTAGGTGTCTTATCTTCGCCTGATCAGAAATACGATTATTATTATTATTATTATTATTATTATTATTATTATTATTATTATCC